ATTTTGCTGAGGTTACTGCCCCAAGTGCAAGACTTTATTGAATTAAGAAATCCGACTACACTGGAAAAGTTATTTGAGCTAGCAATCCAGTTTCAAAGTAGAAGAACGGCGGACGTCGAAAGAAGACGCCAATAACAACAGCAAAACCAATTTGGTACGCCAAGACTACAGCAAACTCAAGCACACGGCTACGGAGAAAAAGCGAATCAGTGGGCAAGGAAACCCGAGCATTCAAAAACAGCCAGCGAACGTCGACAGTTCAATAGCAACCCAGGAAAAAAGTCTCAAGGCCAGTGGAAAAAGATGGAAAGCACGGAAAGGAAAAATAATTTAAACTAAAACGGATTTCTGCTGACGAGAGGGTGCGGAAATCCGAAGGCCAAGAAAACCCCTCTTCCTACAAGTTAAATACAGTAATGGTGAAAAATCTGACTCTTCCGAAGATTGAAGTCTTGGTGAATAATATCCCAGCCACTGCACTCCTGGATACCGGCGCGCAGTGTTCCTGTGTGGCAGAAGGATTTTTTAGGAAGTATTTTCGCAAATACCGCATATATAATGCGGATAATACGACAGTGTTAGCGGCGCAAGGAGAAAAATGTAAGTGCGTAGGTAAAGTACCTTTGTATATCCGTATCAAGGACGAACAAGTAAGGTGATGTTTTTTATAGTAAAGAATCTGCTGCAAGCACATTTTAATTTTAGGAATAGATTTTCTTTCAGAAGCACAAGCTACGCTGGATTTTAATGAAGCGTCCCTTAAACTAATAAAAGAAGCAAAAAAGAATACGGAAGTAGCACAAAGAAAACAGAAGCTCTATTATGATTTGAAACGACGGGGAGTAACTTATAAAGTAGAGGATGAAGTTTTAAAAATTAAGCATTCACTTTCTTCAGCACCAGAAGATAAAACTGCCAAATTTTTTCAACGATTTGAAGGACCATATGTTATAGAAAAAATAACTCACGCTGTAGTAGTGTTAAAAGCCAGAAATGGTGAAACCTGTTCCGCAAACATTGATCAAATCAAGCCCTACTTCGATCGTAATAAAATGCAAATATTTTCAGATCTTTTGCAGGATCCGGCACGGCAGACACCGCAGGCACAAGCTCCAGAGGTGGAAAAACGACAAGTACAAGGGCAAGCCAATAAGAGGCAGGAGCAAGTGAAAAGAAAATTGTCCCGCGGAAAAATTGAAGGTAGCAAGAAAAAGAAGCCGTTCCACCATTCAGAAAAGAGAGTTCACGAACACCCCCAGAATGAAGAAGGGAGAAGGACAACGTATGTGAAGAGAGCCAGGAGAAATGACGGCAACTATAACACGGCTCTAAAATGGAAGATCTACTCATCCGACAGGACTCTCCGCAGCAAAAGTCGCCGAACTGCGGAAGGGCCATCAGCGGCGGAGGAAAAAGTACAAGGAAAATTTGAACGGCCAGCAACGAGGTCCAAGCAGGAACACGACGAAGTTTCCCGGTTCCGCCAAGACCACAAGCAGAGGAGAAAAAGAAGGTATTCAAGGGTGGCCGAACTGGTGAAAAAAGGAAGCTTCCAGAGGAAAGCACTGAAGGGCGAGCCCGTACAAGAAGGAGGATAAATCACACTACTATCTGCAATACCTTTAAAGACTGGGCCCAGAAAAGGATGTCCGAATATTACAAAGATAAGTAAAATTTTATGTTACTTTGCAAACTTAAGTTAATCTTTCATTCTTACTGCAAGTGGCAGATTTCAAGAAGTTTTACCTCATGCGAGGTCTACCTTTATCGCCAAAAGGGCGAGAAATGAGTTGTTACCGATTTTGGTATTATGTTTTTCAATTACTCGCGCGTAAAACTAAAGTTGATGTATAATAGCCTTGTGTAAAGACTTAAATATTGAAAAAAGTTATTGTATAAATTTTATTTAAAACATTCTAGCAAAGAAAGAAGTTTTAGTCTGAAAGACTTTTTGAAATGTATTATTTCAATGTAGAAAGAATTGACACTTGCTTTGAAAAGAATAGAAGTTAACAATGTACTACTAATGTATGTTCTCAAATGTGTAAAATTAACGGCATGTTGATATGTTCTTATATACAATGTGAACTGTTATTTTAAATGTTAAGAAATACCGTGATATGGTAAAAGTGAAAGTAATGTTAAAAATTTGTTATTCGTGTGACTGTAAAGACTAAATCATGGTGAATATGTGTTAAAGGTTGAATGATGTAGTTAGGCTCTCTGACGCTACACTTTAGAGTTAGCCACTTTTAGAATAGTACCTCAGGGTTTAGAGTTGAAATTAGGGTGTGTTAAGAGGTCTTGTTATGTTGAATTTTAACACGTTAGTGTTTTGATTGTAGGAGGAAGTGTGGAACACGTAGACAGAAATACATTCGTGTTTGGTGTTCTTTTACAACACATGTCAGAGAGCACGGGGAGAGATAATTAAAATAGTCATGAATGAAATAAGAATGTTAAGAGAAGTATAATTATATATGTTACTTGCCATTTCATTGTGTAACATTTCATTAAACTAGTTTTCCTTCCAGATCTCTGGAAGGAACCAGAATTGAATAAATGCTCCTGTTTAGATGCAGTACAGATGAAAAAAAAATTGTTGTATATCCTGGGAGCTGCTGCTGCAAAAAAAAAAAAAAAAAAAAAAAAAAAAAAAAACAAATTTCTTTCTTTTAAATTTCTAGTTTCTAGCGAAGTATGTTTGTAAAAGATTGGCCTCGCGTTAGATTCTAGAGCTAAAAGTTTTCAACAAGGTCGTTTTAGACCTCAGTTTCAAACTAATTAACTCTGGCGGGAAGTATGTAAGGATCTTAAATTTTACTAACGTTTATTTTTATTTTAAATCTTTACTATCACTTCTTATTTTCTACTTCCGGCCAGAATTATAAGCGTTAAGGTTTTTATGCAAAGTTGTCTGGCGAACGCCAAGTGTTTAAGTTGTGGCTTTTTGCCAAGCGAGAAAGAGGAAGCAGTTGAGTCAAAGCAGGCCGCTTACCTTAGAAGTTACGCAGTTGCTGTTTGCCTTCCAGGCCAGAGGTTTTAATCCTCTTGATAAATTTAAACGTATTGTAGTGTTCACAGTCTCTGTACTACATACGCTTCCTGTTAATATAAGGCCAATCTTCCACGTTTATTATCGTAAAGTTAAATTAGAGTTTGGTTTTATTTTTATACTTTTACGTTAGACCCCAAGTAGCGGGTCAGTGTATTCCGAAGTTCGGAAGTTATTGTATATAGAGAAAAATAAAGGGTTTTGTATACCCTTCATGTGTATCCTGTCTACTTACCACAATTAGTGAACATAGCTTTAGTAAGCTCTCTGTTCCGAGTCAGGTCCTTGTATGTTCCCAAAGAAGGTAAGAAGGAACATTGACCCTGATAACTTTTATAAAATTGCTCTAACAGTCTGCAAAAAATAATAAGCCAGATCCAATTCGAAGATTAAGGAACAACGCAATCTGCAACATTAACTGAAATAGATAATTAGATAATTTTAGCTTAGCGTATACCGTCCGTTACACATTAAACACATATGCGTGAACGTACTATGCCCATGTGCACACGCATATGCACATGCGCAAAAGTATTACGGGCTTTCCGGATTATGGGTGTCTAGATTAACGACTTTTGACTGTAATCAAATATGCCTTGTCTTAAGATCGCTATTTACTAAAAGGGAGTTGAAGCTTATAATTCTCTCACAATATGCCATCATTGGCATAGCTATGATCCATGCATGTTGTGCAACTTGTCAAACCTAAAACCAGGCTTTAAAGATGACCTAAAATCAGGCTGTGTATTAGATTTAAAACAAAATATGAACACATTTAATGCATTTAAGATGAATTATGATTCATTAACATGTATGCAAAATAGCCATGAATTAGTTGTATAAATTGTGCACATGTTATTATTTGCATTGCCTTTACTTTATTATAAATGAATGAAAATATGCACCTATAAATACTTTATCATTATTATTATTTTATTTTCAACCTTCAACACGAAGTACGGTGAAGATACATTGTTCTGTACCCTGAACAAAATTATTGGCCTATGCATTAACAAACATTCAATTCAACTAGAAAACATACAACTCACATTTAAGGCATGAATGAAAACAGTACAGTTGCATATATATGCTATCTCTTCTTTGTAGTTCTTCTCTTTAAAAAAGCATTATCCTTTCTAGTTTAGTTTATTGTAAGACTGCCACCACCTATAAAACAGATATATAACAAACAACACACACATTTATTTACCGTTTACATTTTGAGCAACTGGCTATTAAGTGTCAAGTTTTTGGAATGCAAAATTATACACAGAGTTGTAAACTGTATGACTAAGTTGGTACTTCTAATTCATCACGTAATTAATACAAGAGCTGAAAGTACTTCAAAAGTCTCAGATTAAGGCAATGTAATACACATTTGTGAAGAAAGATTACTTTTCATGTTCTTCATTTGAAAATTAAAATCACGTTGATTGCCCTTGCTTTAAAAGTAATTTTTAAGAATTCTTAAACTATACTGACTGCAAATAATTTATTTGAATACGAAATAATAAGAACTACTCATATAAAATATTATTTAATCATATGAATGAAACTATCAAAACTAAATGATAAAATTATCAAATTGCAAGATAATATTGGAGGGAGGGAGAAAAGAAAAAACAGGGAAAACACTGCAATCATAACAGCACTCTTAACATCAAAAACAAACAAAACAAAAACAAAAACAAAAAAAAAAAAAAAAAAAAAAAAAAAAAAAAAGGGGGAGAAGGTATCCAAAAAGAAGGAATAACTAGACAGGGTTCTTTTTCTATTTTTATCAATGACCTAAAGTTATTTATAACTTCAGGTCTTTATTAATCATATGTATATGCAATTATATCAATCAATAGCTGCTCCTGTAAACAAGTGGTTCTTTACCAGTAAATTAATGTTTGGCTAACATTATTTGATAGTAAAGTATATAATAATAGAGTTAGTATACCTTTCTGTGCCTTCTGTGTAAGAATTACCAGATGCTGACCTGGAATATCGGTCTCGAGATTTAGCTCTACCTTGATAATTATCTTCATCATGATAGCCCATACCAAGGGGCCTTCTCAAGTAGGGCTCACGATCGCCATAATAATGACCTGGTCTTTCATAATTTCGTTCTTCAGAAAGACTGAAACAAGAAAGCTATTTTCAGCAAGCATTTAAAATTTCTGTGCAATAATTAAGACTTTAATTCAAGAAATTATCCTATATTTTAACTTAAATATATATAAATTGAATTGTTATCACAGTTTCATTATTTGTTTTGAAATTTTAAATCCATGTTCTACCTCCCCCATTTGGAAGGTAATGAAATGCTAAAAGCAGTTACACACATTAAACAAAATGATTCAAAATTTCAACAAATGGCATTCGTAAAAAAACACATATGAACAATGTCACAATCACTTCCTCAAAATAGATAAAAAGTGTGAATCAAAATGGGATACTTAAGCCAATAACAATATGGATTGTACTAAAGACAGTAACAGTATGTAACAATCTTATTATTTACAGTTACACTTAGCTATTCATTCATCTGAACTTTAAAACGGACGTTTGTCTCAAATTCCTTTAACGTTTTTCTGTTGTAACAAGGAAAACACAAGATTTTTCTTTGGGCCCACAATCTATTTTTGTTATTACTTATCCAAGAGAATCTCAAACATGTCTATGAATTCATCATTGCCAACAAGCACAGTCCATCACTGGTTAAGGCATTAGGCATTTTATGATTACAGCCAGATAGCTATTCCATCCAGTTTTGATGGAGAACATCCAGGATGAAGACCACGGATCTTCCCAAAACAACATTTTGAGGAGACTTCTAGCTGGATGGTATTTTAAATCTAATGCTTTAAAAGAAACTACACATTACAAACACTCATGTGTTCTCAGGGATTTGAACTTGGGCTCATTGCTATGGCAGTTGACACTACTAATTACCAAATTGATCAGAGGGACTGGATCCAAATCTTGTAGACCTGAGTATCACTATGAGCCCAATTACTGCTCTTCACTATTAAGGAGGAAAAAAAAAATATTGAAATCCCCATTTTTAATAAAATAGTTGTATTCTGACACATAACTTTGAAATTTTTTTACTTTTTACAAAAAGACATCATTTATACAGCTAATAAAAGAATTTTTTATAAAAATGCATAATTATTAATAACTACACTTACCCAATATAATTATTCATATAATAAAGCAAAAAGTTTGAGAAAAGATACAGTAGAAATAGGCAGAAAATTTTCTGCAAGTTACGTAATTGTACAACATTTAAAAAGTAAAGCTACAACTATTATAAAATTCAGAAGACTTGTACAACATTTAAAAAGTAAAGCTACAACTATTATAAAATTCAGAAGACTGTTCAATGCATGCAGCACAATATGATGCATAACTCATAATATAAAGTTTAATAATAAAGACATTCATTTAATGAAATTCCATAGAACTTCAAGACAATCAATGGATTTTATAAATTCTAGTAAAATATTAAGCATTAATATATCAAATAACATACAACAGACTGTCACAGACACTTCATGCTGTATTGCATATGATTCAGTGAACAAACAAAAGAAAATTACAATATACCATATATTAAAGTTACTAACATTTTATGATGTATAAAACTAAAATATTCAATATTTCGCTTTTGAGTAAACAGAGGAAAGTGCAATAGTTGCATATAACATGCAATAAATTTTTGGGGTATTCTCGTATCAGGTGACCTACTAGGCTGTGTGTGTTAAAAGATGGCCTACCCTATACTTATCTTTGGTTACGAGAGAATCGTGATATGCCCCCTGACGGTAAATCATAAGATTAATTTTGTGGATTCTGCTATGGTACAAACACTCACATGATGACACAACACCTTATAGGATCAACTTAAATAATTGTACTGAATATATGAGGAACAACACCTGCAATGCCATACCATATCTCTGCAATGCCACATCTCAGCACTACTTTGCTGAATTATGACAGCAAACTGTGAACTATGCAGGCAAATTTCTGGCCGTGTTAAGAGACATCAGGACAACATTTGCACGAATGAAAAATAGGGATGGCTGTAAGTGTTGCTTTATATCTCATTACAGCAGTAAAATGATGCCTATTTACAAATGAGAAATAGGCCTACTTTAAATGATAGATGCCGAATAGGATCACAAACTGTGTTTTTTAATGAGAAATACAGTGACAATCATCCAGAAATATAACAGGTCCTCATCTGAGTTGCTTCTTTTTAATGAGAAGTACAACGATATACATGCAGAGATATGCATTATTCTGATAATGCAGTATAATTTAGTAATCTGATATCTTCTTATAATGTAATAAAAGAACGTAAGCATATATACATATGTTTATCTAGTTTGTTTGGTTTAAAGTACAGTTCACATGCAGTATGTCACCAGTTGCAAGAATACACATGTGTTTTATAACCACCCTGCGTATCATACAAACCTTCAGATATATTTTAGAACAAATGGAGAATGATGAATCTCTTACTGTTATGGATGTTTGGAAGAAATTTAGTCTTAGATTGTGTTAAGCATGTTGAACTCTCATATACTCAGATTAAACAATCAACACTCAACGCATGCAGCTAAAGATGAAAATTATACATTAACATTAGGGCATGAATATTCTCAAATCACTAAACTGGTCCAAACTTTAGGAAGAGAGGGTTTTGAGGATTTAGCTCAGACAGATATTGAAGAAATAATGGCTGATGAAGAACTAAATGAGGATGAGTTAATTAACATGATTGATGAAACAAATAAACATGATGAAGACAATGATTCTGATGAAAAGCAATCTGAACCACTTGCATTCACAGCTATAGTCATCAGTGTAGGACTCGAATTGGGAAGAAAATTAGGTAATAATTTTTTACAATATGACAAGAATGTTGAACAAACTCTCCAATTCCAAAGGGAGCTTAGTAAGTGCTTAAATCAATATGAAGATGTTTACAAAGATTTAAGGGGGGGAAAAAACCTAGGCAATTGTTAATTACGGATTTCACTACAAAGTCTACTTGATCCGATACCTTCTCTAATTCATCAACCATTGAAGCAGAATGCTCAAGTGGTGAAAGTGACATCATACGAATCAAAAAGAAAAGACTAATATAGTTCACGAAAGTGATTAAACTTGTAATAATTTTTTGAATGATATATGTTCCCAATGTAAAATAAATTAAATTATCTAGTTCTATTACCTACATATACATATTTGTTATTTTACGAATGAAGTATACAGTCAAAGTCATTAATTCGGACACCCATAATCTGGACCTCAAAGCTAAAAACTTTCTGCGCATGCGCCGCGTTGGCACATGCACATGGGCGTTTTACGCATGCGCGTAAGACCTTGACTACTGCGTATATGCGTGTGCGCAAGTGCAGAATACGTTTTCGCCTGCGCGTTTAATGTATTAATAACTTAAATATGCACCTTTAATGTGTTTTTCGTTTTACATAGCAAAATTCAAGATTTTGATTTACATGGTTTTGTGTGGAACTTATCTTCCATGTAAATACAGGGATAGGTGTATTATTCTTCCCTATCCCTGTAAAAGTTTCGCACAGAAACCTGCTGTTCACTCTAAATCTGGAAGAAAGCATTTCAAGGAAAAGTTAGATGCAGTATTTTTTATAACAAAACAGACTAGTATAACAATATATTTTTCTCAGATAAAACAATCACGAATCTCCCCCAAAGCAATTTTTTATCCAGGGATATACAAAAATTCCACATCCTCATAACATAAAGGATAATTACGATTATATAATCATAAAGGATATCTATAATTGAGTAACCCAATCACACCACTGATTTGAATAATATAAAGAGAGTATGTGCAGTCTTTGAGACCAATCACTACATGCTTTATAATGCCTTATGCCATGGTAACCACTCAGCAAAAATATTGTGTATTAACATACACAGAAAAAATACTAGAACTGGGGGGTATTAAATTTATGTTTGTTTAAATAACATTCCTTATAGCATTTGACAATAGTATTATGAGACAGAGTCTCCACTTAATCACAAGAGCACTAGTGTTAACTCCGATAGCTCTTTTACAATCCTACGCTTCAAGCCCTTCGATGGCCGTTCAGATAAAAAAACAGGCAGTTTATACAGTTCCTAGACTGAAAGCATCTCGGCAGGCAAACTGGATGCAAAACAGACAAGTGGGCATCCTCAGAACTCAAGATTTCTCCAGTCCAAATTTGTGAAGACCTTTTGGATAATTTAAACCTAAATACGTCTGTTGAAAATACTAATATACTTGTTGACCAGTGGAGTTTTTCGGAAATGCCTTACAATTTAAAATTAGATAAAAATAGAAAAAAAAGGGCACACTAGACACTATTCCAAAAACAAGTATCTCTTCACTACTGGACAATAACTAGCCTGAACCAGAATGGATAGATGGCTCTAGAATGAATAATGCTACTGGTGCAGGTGTGTATTGTAAACTGTTTTCCCAGTAGGTCAACATTTTTTAAACTTTGATGTAGAAGTTCATGTGGTCTTTTTGGCTGTGTCTAATTTGAAATCTAGAATTGAGTTTTTTAGAAAGGTTGTCGTTCTTGTTGATTCTAAGTCAGCCCTAGAAACAATTGTTCTTCAGCACCACTCTGAGCCTCCTCTTGTGTCAAAAATAAAACGGGATATCAGGAAACTGAACAGGAACGATAAAACTGTATAACTTCAGTGGATACCATCCCATGTAGTTATTGATGGTAATGAAAAAGCAGATCTCTTGGCAAAGAGGGATATGGAATTATTTATTGAACAGAGTTCCATTCCTTTGGATTCCCTTAGAAGAAGTATTCACGAGAATACTCAACTTACAGCACAGAACTATGAATTAAATCGAAGGGTAAACTCTGGGAGAATGTCTGGAATGAGTTCAGTCACAGACCACGTAGAAATGCCGTGTATGATTTCAGACTGAGTACAGAGTACAACTGCTTAGCCAAACATCTCAGCAGAACAGGCATACTAAGTAATCGCCAGTGCCCTATTACTATGATACTATGAATTACCTATTACCCAGATACTATGAATACGCAGCACTTGCCCATCTATCCAGACTCT